TGATTTAATAAATGGCCAAACGCTTTTCAGAAGTTCAATATATTTAATACACAATTTTAACGTATTTTTGGACTTAAAAAGATAGTGGTATTGGGACACCTTTCCAGATTCAGCCAAAAGGCATCGGCAAGCTTCTCCTCTAAAGGTATGCACACCTTCAGTTCCACATGGAATTTGTGATAAGATTCAATGTATATCCCTAAGAATTGAGGAAAAACAAACTCTTTTCCAATAATGTGATACATTTCCAAAAGATTGACGTTAACATAGACTTTGAAATGTAAAAATCCTATATAAAGGATATATTGGAAAGAAAAAAGAAAATAATAAGGATTTCATCATAGTTAAGAAACAATATTGAAGTATGGAATGAAAATATGAAGTTAATTAGTATATCTCAAAATTAAATGTGGGATAAAAATACAAAAACTGCCACTGGAATTCCATGGATTCATATCATCCAGGCATATTGCGTGTTTCTTACCAGGTGTTATCCAAATAGCTTACATCCCTATCCCAAGTACAGGCCAATTCTAGGAGGACCTGTTCTCTGGGTACCCAAACAGGGCCCTTATGAAAAAGACATTATTGTAGCCATGTTTAAAAGGTTGACTCGGGCAACCTACTCTCAGCTGCATGTTTCGAGTTGGCTAAACTAAAATGTGGAAAATGACCATTTTCTAGAAAAGGTTAGAAAATATTCTCTCGAGGCATAAATGCCCCTAGTCATTGGAAAAGACATATTTGTCAATACAAAATTTATGGAGAGCATTTCATTTACGAAAATGGATAGAACACTGCAAAGTGCGATCCATTTTATTGTGCCTTCAAACAACTCTCAACTTAGAGGGATTTGCTGAAATTTTTCCTCCTCTCTATTTCTCTTCGAAAAGTGAAAACTGATGTTTTGATAAAATTAGGAATGTATCCCACATGTTCAGGAATTTTGTTTTCTTCTTCTCCTCCTTTTTTTTTGTAAATTTTAAATCTTAATTTCCATGGCTCCTCTGGTCCCGAGATCTGGAGATGCAGTTTTCGCCAATGTTGAGAGAGTGGTTATTCACTTATCTTTAGCATATACAAATTTCTTGCTGTTCTTTATCTGATCTTGATGCTTCTCATGCACACATTTTTTAAATTTATCAGCAATTACGGTTTAAATTTCGACGTATTCTCATTTCATGTTTTCCTTTAAAGTGTTGTTTTTCTATATATGTATGTTGATTGAAACAGAATGCAGAGCTTTTCACTCTTACATATGGAGCGATCGTGCGCCAGCTGCTCACCGATCTGGAAGAGGTCGAAGAAGTCAATAAGCAGCTTGATCAAATGTATGTTTTTTCTTTATTGTTCCTTTTTTCTTTGGCTTACCATTTTGGATATTTTTGTGAAGATAGAAAAGATGATAAAGCCATTGTCCTTTTAAATCTTGAAATTGGATTCCGTCTAAAGTATTTTATGTTATGAGCAGCAATTGCTGTTTGATCATTTGTTACCTACTTTCTGTTTTTAGAAAACTTTCCATATTGTAGGATATGGAGGTCTGCTCTGATAAATAGCTTAGACTTTTTCTTTACTTGTAATTTTTTTTTATCATTTTATTTGCAATGGTTTAGTACTGTGAAATTTAGTTCACAGTGGAATTTCTGCTTCTCAAGACGAAATTTGCAATAAATTTTCGTGAATCTCATTATGTGATGGCTCTAGAAACTCATTCTAAGTTAATAGATGGGTTTCTTCTGCTTTCGTACTCTCTTAACGGGTTTTTTTATTTGCTGCTAACCATTTTTTGTATACTGCTACCTTGGGAAGCCTATTCTTTTGGCAAGAGGCCTGGTCTGTGGGGTACTTACCTACTTTAGTAATACAACGCTTAACAAGATCAAAAAAATAAAAAATCTAAGTTAATAGATGGAGTTGTGGAGATTCAAGTGCTGCATTTGTAAGAGATGGATCATTTTTTCATTTTTTGGATCATTATTGCAAAATATATTCTAAACCGTGCTTCCTGTTTCCCTTAGTTATGACCTTTGTTCCTAGGTGATTCATAAGGTTCCATAAAGGAAAAATGTCTCATCCACTCCCTCCCATGCTCCAATTAAAGCTCCTTGAGTTGTAGATGTTGGTAATAACTAATCTTTCCTCCTCCTAGAATCATGTTGTTCAAGCTAGCAAACTTGCTCTTTATTCAATAGAAATGTAGCTTGGCATTCATTGCTTCACTAGGTCTTTGTTGATAGCTTCCTGCTTGCTTCTTGCTCCTAATGCTCGTTTTGTGCATTTTATCATACTACAATTACACAAAAATTGCACAAACCTAAATGTGAATTTGCTTTCACTTCCCATTCTAGTGGAAATCTCCTCCCCATTTGAGAGTGATTTGTCCTCGAAAAATTGGTATATGACCAATAATTGCTCTTTATTCAAATTTCATTAACTTGTCATTAGGCCTCATGGTATTATCTATAGAGGTTATACCTAACAAGTAATTTAAATATTTCCTGAATCTTCCTTCTTCCCAAATTATAGATTAAGATTCTTTTATAGTTTTTTAGGAAGCTAGCCCCTTTTATGATATTAGAAAGTGCTAAAAAGAGTAGGAAACTTGTAATAAGCTGGAATGCTAAAAAGAAACTATAATTTACTAATTTATTTTAGCCAAACCCTTTTGGAATGGATGGTCTAGGGTTTAAGGTAGAGTCGCCCTAGAGTCCAATCTTAGGTTTCATGATCATGGGCCCACCTAGGGCTGACCTTTAGCATGCCACTTTTTGTGGATGGCCATAGGTGATCCACCATCACTTTCAGAATTATTTACATGATGTCCAATTAGATCTTCTTCAGAGTTCTAGTTGCAGTGTTGTATGTTTTTTGACCTTGTAACCTGTGTTATTGCTTCTATTTGTGGCAATATCAGAAAATGGAGCTAGGTATGTGTCAATTAGTGTTTCCTGTAACTGGTCTTGTCACACCGTTTTCTATGTTTTTATTTTGTGTTACGATCCATTGATTCTTTTTCAGGGGCTATAACATTGGAATACGACTGATTGATGAATTTCTGGCCAAGTCAAATGTTTCTAGATGTGTTGACTTCAAGGAGACGACAGAAGTGATTGCAAAGGTACCTTTGAGTTGATTTCCTTCCGTACAGCTATATATAGATTGTCTAAAGGCTCATTTTTTAATATGAGCACAAAATTTTGGAATAAGTAGATATCAAAAGGTGTTGCTCTTCTTTGATACTATTTGAATATTCTTTAACTATTTGAACAATCTTTAATTGTTCTCTATGCAAGCAATTTTGTATTGAATTTCCGTGCATGGTTGCCTCACCTAGCCTTATTTCTCTATATATGGCATATGCCATGTATGTGTCTTAATGTGGGTATACAGCTGGGGACATGCATTGGCACGATCATTGTCATTACAAACAAGTATGAGAGACTAGTCCAATATATGGTCAAATTCTTTCTCTATGAAAAATGAAGTTTGTCATGGTGTTTTATTTGTGTAGCATATCAATTTCTTACTTCTTTAAATCTTGTTGCAACAATTCTACAGAAATATCAACAACATGAGTCTTTAAACCTGTATGTGAAGATTTGTAGTGGATTGATTAAATCTTGTAGAAATGATATATATATCTGGTGTCTTGGACTTTTAATGAACCTGCACTTTACTTTTATATTTTTGTAGTTATATGTAGGGTGCTTGATCGAAACTTCAATGCATCCATTAAAAAAATCGTCATCATCATTAGAGCCTTATCCTAACTATTAGGGGCTGGCTACATGAATTTTGTTATGCCATTTTACTCTCTCAAGGGCCATATGCCCAATTAGACCGTAAGTCATTTCTCACTACTTCCATCCATGTCTTTTGGGGCATTCTCTTTGCCCTTTTAGAGCTTTCCACTAAAATCAAATCACCCCTCATAACTGGTGTTTTCTAGGTCGACTTTGCACATAACCAAACCATCGAAATCTACTTTCCTTCATTTATTGCCTATTGGAGCTATGCTTAAGATCCCTCAAATGCATTCATTCCAAATTTCGTCGCGATCCGACGACGTTAAGGTGGATTAGACGCAAAACCAGTTTTCAAATTCAGCTCTTAACATGCTGAAAAAACAACTTATACCTGCAACCCTATCACCAGGGCTTTAGATGAGCACCAAACCACTTTAATTGGATTCAGAAGGTCCGAAAACCGTCAGATATCAAATTTCAGCTCATTCAGGCGCTTCTGGACCATTCTGCGACCAACTTACCCAAAAAAGGTAGGTTACACACTATTCTAGCGCACCCTCGGTGAACCAGTTTCCATTTACAAAAACTGTCTTATGATTTCGGGATCACCTTCAAAAGGCCATAACTTTTCCATCTTAAGTCGGATCGAGCTCAAATTTCAGGAGGTTCTTCGTCTCATCGACCCGCACATTTTGATATATGGTACGACCCATTACACGGTTCGAGACGGAAGCAATCCTAGAGAGAAGTTGTTCAAGAAAACTCTTGTATTGCAGATTTTTGCAAGGAGATCCCTTCAATCAAGCGGTCATATCACGAAACCCTGACCTCTGATCGACTTGAAAACAATTATGTTGCGACCGTGACGTCGAGGGCTTCGATCCAAAGTGAACATCATATGTGATAAACGACCATAAGCTGTATTTTGAGGTTGCAAAAAGGGATATTTTTCGGCGACCAGGATCCATATTTCGACAACTTCCCCAATTTGGAAAGTGGTGGTTCGGTCACCAAATCGAGTCATTTTTGTCACAAAACGATCATGACGGCTTCACCGTCTTTATACGATAGAAAGATCAAACCAAAACATCATGGAATGGACAAGATCTAAGATCGCAAATTTCTCATCTTTTGTCGATTTTTGTCAAGAGCTCTACGTTTTGATTCACGGATCAAATAATATATAAAAAACGATCACCTCGTTGAGACCATCACTTTTTCAATATTCTTTTCATCGGAAGGTCACCGGAAGAGCCCGAAATGAGCCCCGAATGATCACCATAGCTCATGGCCCCTTTTGGGGTCCTTCTTGTCATTTCCCAAATTGTGGGTATAGGGAAAAATGGTCATTTTTTCCCAAAAAGGGGATTTAAATTGAAATCATAAAAAGTGTATTTTTTAGCAATTAGGGTCAGTTTTGAGCATCCACCCTTGTTCCAAGGGAGTGCTAGATAAGCATTTCATGATCATTTGTAAGAGGACTTTTTTCATAAGCTGAAAAATTAATAGAATTAGCTTGAGTTCCCCTTGGTTGGAAATATTTTTCTCTCCCATTTTCACTCAAGAGAGGAGAGAAAGCTTTTCCTCACAAGTCACTACCTTTAGAACTCATCACTTCCCACTTGGAACTCCCCACTCCCAACCTAGCCCCCGGTCTGGTTCAAGGGCCACACTAGGTAACCCCTCACTTTCTCTGTCCTCCCCCTCCTCTTTTTCTCTCTCTTCCCACTCTTTATCTGTTCTCCTCCCTTCTCTCTCTCCTCCCTCTTTCCTCTCTCTCGTTCTAGTCGGACCGCCGGTCCCCTCTCTCTATCTCTCTTTCTCTCAATTCGGTTTAGTCTTCGGTCTTCTCTTCCCCTTTTTTCTCTCTTTTTCTCTCTTCCTTCTCTTTTTCTCTCTTTTCTCTCTCTCTCACCCCCGGCTTAGTCAGACTGACGGCTAACCCCTCTTTCTCTCTCTTATTCCTTCTCTTTTCTCTCTCTCTCTCCACTCAGTTGGATTGACGGTTAAGCCGTTGGTCCCCTCTTCACCTTTCTTGTTTTTCTTCCTTCTCTTTTTCTCTCTCTCTTGTCTCTCTCACCGTCGGTCCTATCTCTTCTGTCTCTTTCTCCCTTTCCCTCTCTCTTTCTCTCTCTCTTCTCTCCTTACGGCTCGGACGGACGGCTACGCGTCCGGTCCTCTCTCTTCTCTTGTCTTTCTCTCTCTCTCTTCTCTCTCCTCTCTCTCTCTCCTCTCTCTCTCTCTCTCTCTCCCCTTACGACTCGAAGCCACCGGTCCCCTCTCTTCTCTCCCTTTCTCTCTCGCTCTCTCTTTCTCTCTCCCTCTCTCTCTTTGTCTCTCCATTTCTCTTTTTCTCTCTCTACCTCCCTCTCTCTCCCTCGCTCTAGCTGCCGGCCCCTCTCTTCTTTCTCTTTCTCTCTCTCAACCCGATCTCCTCTCTTCCCCCTTTTTCTTTCTCTCTTTTCCTCTCTTGCGCTCTCTCTTTTCCTCTCCCTACCTCCCTCTCTCTCCCTCGCTCTAGCTGCCGGCCCCTCTCTTCTTTCTCTTTCTCTCTCTCAACCCGATCTCCTCTCTTCCCCCTTTTTGTTTCTCTCTCTTCCTTGCTCTCTCTTTTCCTCTTTCGCGCTCTCTCTTCCTTGCTCTCTATATCTTCTCACTCTCTTCCTTGCTCTCTCTCTCCCTTTCTCGCTCTCTTTCTCTCTCTTCTTCGTTATCTCTCTCACTCGTTCTCTTTGCTCTCTCTTCTTCGCTCTCTCTTCTCTCTTCCTCGCTCTCTTTTCTTCGCTCTCTCACTCGTTCTCTCTGCTCTCTTCTTCTTCTCTCTTCTCTGTCTTCCTCACTCCTCTCTCTACTCTCATCTCTTTCTCTCTCCTCTTTTCTCTCTCATTCTCGTTACTCCCTCTCTCTCTGCATACACTCTTTCCTCCTTTATCTCTTATAAGCTCTTCCATCTTTTCCCCTTGACCCTCTACTCCCTTGACTCTTATTTTACACCCCACCATCATGATATACCTCTCTTGACCACATAAATCATCTTTCAGAATCTTTTCATTTATTTATTTACATAAGATTGTTTGTCAAGATGGCGTCGAATGGCTATCAAATTGACAAATAGTCTCTTGTCCCCACACCCCATCTTTTACATATATACCCATCTAATGACAAGTCAGGGTCTTCTGATTCACTTGTCTCGCCGTCTTATGCGTGTATGTCGTGAGCCACATAGTGTGAGCAGGGGAGCTAGAGCCGAACCAACCTTAGGCTAGGGGGGCCTTCCATCGTGATCTAAGAGGGCACCCGCAAATGCCCGAACGTGTCACGAACCCATTGTGAGGTAGGTCCCATCTCACACCCCATAATTCTCTCTCATTAGTTAGTACCTGCCAGCACTTTCACCTCACACACTGCGGTTTTCGAGAGAGTGATATCGGGCCGGACCCACACATCCAGGTCCTTGCACGGTCTTATGACTCAATGAGATTGAGGCCCAACCAGCTTGGTGACTCCACTGGGGAATATTGCTACCCCATCGTCGGTTTAGTTTGCTCGCCAAAGCATTATGGTCTTCACACACATGCTTTTGGGATTATTTAATCCCTATGTCCAAGTTGGGGATTTCGTCATCCCCACACTCGTGAGTTTGTCCCCTAGGGACGGGGTTTTGCAAACCTCACTCCTTGCTTTTCTTTTGAGCGTGGACCAAGTTTCGCACTCCCAGTTTCTCACTCAGCTCGAGGTGAGAAGGGACCCTCAAGTCCCTTATTCCCCATCTACCGGCATCAACGACCCACCTGTTGGTGTCACTTGCATTGGTGGCACTACGATCACCTCTCACCGCATTCACCCAATTACCGGCAAAACACTTGCCGGTTCCCCTGCTCGGGGCAGCCGAAAGGCTGCCTCTCTCTCTCTTCTGTAATTGGCAGAATGCCTGCCATTGCTTTTGTGGGTCGCCACGTGGCCATCCCCCACTCTCAATCACTCTGAACTGCCAGTCTTCCTAGCAGTTCGACACAAAGAGGAGGCTTCAAGGCCAGTCCCTCTCACGCACTTGCCAAGACTCGCGGTTTACCTGCTGGGTCCACATCTCGGGGCAGCCCCAGGACTACCCCAGTACGCTATCACGAGCTAGGTCTCTTAGGACCTAGCGCCACACAAGAGGGCAGCCCGAACGCTGCCTCACCGAGCAAGATGCATCTCTATCACTCAACTTAGGGTGGCAACAAAGCCACGCCACCGCGAGCACACGGGCAACGACCTCCTCGTCAACCCCATCCGCACATGCCTACATACCCAGTCAGAGGTGGTCGCAAGGCCACTTCATCGTGCACATTGCCTTGTGAGGCCGGTATTCTTGAAGCTGGGCCTTGTG